ACATGCGCATGAATCAACAGCCCACAACTGCAAAAATTTCAGTGAATCTGAAACATCCATCTTTACAGTTTTAAAAAAATGATAATAAAATAGGGCGCCTGGGTAGCTCTGTTGGTTGAGCGTCCAACTTCAGCTCAGGTCATGATCTCACGGTCTGTGGGTTCAAGCCCCACATCGGGCTGTCTGCTGTTAGCACAGAGCCCAATTCCGACCCTCTGTCCCTCCTCCCATTCTTCCCCAGCTCTTGTGCACACACACACTCTCTCTCTCTCAAAAATAAATAAACTATAAAATTTTTAAATAACAATAAAGAGGATAAGGAGCTGTACAACAATATCATGGAACCCTTCTGCTAGTCCTAGCTCTGACATTAACTGGCCACGGGCTCTTGCCCAAAGTATTTCCCTTCTTTAATTTCCTGTCTATAAAGTGATGGGTACGAGACAGGTGATAAATATGGTTCATTTTGAAGTCCACTATTGCATTCCTATAAAACATGAAAATCCTGCACATCTTACTGGTAACTAAAGGCCAGGAAAAGAATGAACCTTCAGAGGGATTCTAACTTTTTCTCTTCATATGCTCTTTTGACAAGTTAACGAAAACTAACTTCCTCTCAGAATAGTGAACATATGAACATGCAGAGACAATTTTGCACCATTTCAGAGATTTTACTAATTTCCTAAAGCCTGTCTACTGAGTTCCAAGTGAAAAACCCTCCGTCTGAAGTGAGGCATGGTCTCATTTTTTCACCTGGGAAAATGTTCGCCTGGAATACAGAAGCTACAAGAGCTTAAGCATCGATGGTCAAGCAAGGCCAATAGAAGACATTTTGTTACAGCGTGAACAACAGGAAGAACACAACACTCCCTAGGAAGTATTCTTGCCAAAACTGTCAGACAGGAATCTAATAAAGCCTTCGGATCCAACTACTTACTTACAAGGAATACAGGGGTCTGAGCAACATGTTAAAAAATTACCATGGGGATGCAATCAGTAAAATCTAGAATTGGGGAAACTATATAGGATTTGTCTTTCTTTGGCAGCCATTCTTTCTGATGCCATGACCTGGGACCTCTCATTCACTCTCAACCACGAGAGTCCCTTAAGTATCCACTCCATGGGAGCACTCATGTTTTTTAACCACACCTGGCCACCATCATCTTCCTTTTTCTTCTCATTTGTATCTCACATAGTCTATTTCCATCCAATCACTACTGCTCTATCTTCTTTCAAGACGAAGATTAACAAACAGCCTCTATAAACTGGAAGCACTATTCACGACTTAAAGGTGAGTTGGCCAGAGACTGGGCCTTTAAGCGCCCTTACAATTAAGTGCTGGGGTAACCGGACAGTTGCTTAATGCACAGTATATGCATTCCCCACCATTACTCTCTCTCTCTCTAAAATAAATAAACATTAAAAAAAAAAAAAAGAAGGCAACTAAATCTTTATCCCTTGGAGTCTTTAAAAAATAGTTTAAAAATAAGCGCAGCGATTTGCAGTTGACATACCTAAAAGCAGAAAGCTGCGAAAAAAGACCTATTCTTGCCCTTCTTTCCAGCTCTGTGATTCCACAAATTTACAGGTCATTTTACTCTCCTTAAAAATTGTAAAGTTAAAAGAATATAATGAAGGTCTACAAATCCTATAGAAGACATGTAACCAAAGTGAATCCATTTCAGCTTCTTACTTGGTAACTAAAGTTTTTAAAGTAAATTCTTCTAAAATAGAATAGACTGTATGAGCTCATTTTTCTGAAATTATTCTAGCCATCCACAGGTCTACCAATATACACAGACAGAGAGTGTCTGAAATAACACTCACCAATTTACCAATGGCTGCCTCTGTGGGAGAATCAGGTGGTTTTTAAAAAATCTTTTTTCTTATACTTTCCTGTATTACTTGAATATTTTTTATAGTAAGCATGTATCATTTTTATCAAACAAGCAACCAGCCAACAAAAATAAAAAATCCACCATTTCGTTTAAAATCCAGTGGAGCGCCACAGATTGGAAGTTAGAAGGGAAATCTTCATGTGATGGTTCTAGAAAAGATAACTTCTCTCCAGTCGTCTCAGATGGCACCACCAATTCTTCCCCACACCGGTCCTGCTACGACACCAGAAGTATTTTGCTTGAGGTTAACTCCTATAAATCCCAACTCCCACACACTGGTGTCAAATGACGCATAGGCCAAATCCACGAGACTAATAGGTCACTGCCACTTCAGACATGCCTGCGAAGCACGGAGAAATGATCATTCCCATTGCCAGCCGCTGAGGGGGAGTTTCAGGAGGCGGCGCGCAGCCCGGCTCTTGTGCAACCTACAGATGGATGTTCTCACCTGTGAGGCTAGGTCCATGTGAACACAGTCCATAGGTGACCGGAGGCTTGAGTCAAAGCAAAGGATCAGGCACCGTCCGGGTCCATCTGAACACAGCTTGCACCACACATCCAAACAAGTCCCTCATTTGCTCTATTTTTATCTCATCTCCCTTTTTAAAAAAATTTTTTAATGCTTATTTATTTTTGATAGAGACAGAGACAGAGAAGGGGAGAGGCAGAGAGAGAGAGAGAGAGAGAGAGAGAAAGGGAGGCACAGCACCCAAAGCAGGCTCCAGGCTCTGAGCTGTCAGCACAGAGCCTGACACAGGGCTGGAACCCACAAACCGTGAGATTATGACCAGAACCGAAGTTGGACACTTAACCAACTGTGCCACCCAGGCGCCCCTTTCCTTTAGTCTTGGAAATTCCAGAGAAATTTTGCAAGGTTTTGTTGCTGGAGTGGACAAGCTTTAGGTAATTTTATTAGTATTTAGGAATGAGGTTGCCTTTACTGCTGGCTGGTTCACCCCTAGGAGAGGCTTCTTCCTACTATCTGGTTTTACAACTCACACTCCCAAAGGGAATAGCACATGATGACATTAGAGAACCAGAGTTAAAACGCTAACTCTAAAAAGTTCATCACTGAGCTAACACACATTTATGAAACTCCTAGAAGCCAGACTCCGGCACTTGAAAGATGGAAGACATAATCCCAGCTTTCAAGAAGCCTGCAGTCCCAGAGGAGTGCAGAGTTACGTGTTGAGTGAAGAACAGGGGTGGGGTCAGGGAGGTGGTTGGGCCCAGAGGGGGGCTCCCCACTTCCACAGTGGGGTGGGGATCCTAAACTGTCTGCCCCTCTGGAGGATCTTAGGACCCAGAAGATGTGTTTTCTTCGGGGATGGGGCACCCAACTCGTGTGGAAAATTCAGTAAATGATTGTGAAAGGAGATAACTCTCGAACTACATCTGGAAGTCAGTTACAGGGAGTAAGTTACAGAAAGTAAGTAACTTCCCTTTACTGGAAGTAAGTTACAGGGAGTAAGGCAGTGAATATCCAAGCACAGACCAAGGCAATGACACCCACAAATTCGTGTGCATGTGCAATGTATTGCGCAATCAGCTCTCAATCAGTCACTTCCATGAGCCCCTGATTCTTTATCTATAAAATGGGGACAATAACCCTTGCGTGGCTACATCAAGGGCTGCTGCGCACATTAAATAAATACCACTGAAGGGCTGTGTAAACTGGGAAGTCCCATTATCAGCGTGACGGAAGAGAATCTTTACAGGACTCTGTCAAGATTCAACTCAAGGATGACACTACTATGTGGTGGAAAGAATCCCACCCTGGTTTTGCCATTAACCCACGATCCGTCCTCTGCCACACCCAGCCTCAGTTTTCTTCATCTGCAAAATCAGTGGTTTGGGTGGAGTTAAGTCCCTTCCAGTGCTGCCATTTTATTTCAAAGTCCCCTTTAAATCTAATTGCTAGTAACGAGCACGTGGCTCTCCACCCCCAGACTATTTCTTTATTCATTCTTAACCTTTACCTTGGCAGACGAAGCAGAAGATTCATCAAGCACGTTAGACAACCCATGGCATAGTTCCTGTTTTCCTCCATCCCCCTGTCCCCTCCCCTCCCCCTCAGGTCACAGGCACACTGAACCCAGGCTTTTCAGGGCTCTGCCAGGACAGGGCTGCTGGCCAGTTCACAAAGGCTGCGCTCCTCCCGGGGGCCAAGGAAGTCCGGTGTAGCCCGGTTGTTTGGATTTGAGGTGTGCTGGGGATGAAAGGCACCGTGCAAGTGGAAGGCTCGGTCATTCATTCATTAATTATAATTGATGGTTTGTTCTTAAGAATGATCCTTTGAAATTACTTTCCATCAAACAGTGACTGCCACAAAGGCATCAGATATTCAGAACATTCTCCATTTCCTCAGCATGAGTATTTCCTTATTTTTTAAAAAAATTTTTAATGTTTTTTTAATTTCTGAGAGAGAGACAGCATGAGTAGGGGAGGGTCAGAGAGAGAGGGAGATACAGAATCTGAAACAGGCTCCAGGCTCTGAGCTAGCTGTCAGCACAGAGCCCGACGCGGGGCTCGAACCCACAAACCAGGAGATCATGACCTGAGCCAACGTCAGACGCTTAACCGACTGAGCCACCCAGGCGCCCCTCAGCACGAGTATTTTCATTCTAGGACCTGAGTTCTGATCTGGCTCTTCCCTTGGGAATGTCTCCCACCCTCGCTTTAGAGCTGGGCTTTGTTTATTTGGGGCAGTGGAGAGGGGGCACATGTGTCTGTGTGATTAATGTCTCCTTTTTAAAAGGAAATCTACTACACCAAATAGTCTTTTTGTAAACTTCAGTCTGACCCTTTTCAGATAAATGGACGATGGAAAAACTCCACGGAAAAATTAGTAAGACACCCGAGACTAAAACCCACCTAACGTTGTGGGCCACACCTCTGGGTTACAACTAGGAGGGAGAAGCAAACTGGTATATCGATGTGGCTCTAAACAACAACAATGTGTGTGAAGGCCCGGGGGCATGTTCGGGATTGACCAAGAGGAAACACTTGTTGCACAATGATACGATCTTGTTGGTACAGTTGTCAGAGAAGGGAACTCCCACAGCAAAGGGCATAAAACCATCCAGAGCAGTCTGGAGCAGCTCAGTTCGGCAGCCCCAGGGAGCAGAGCAGAGCCCAGCCCTGCACCAAACACAGATGGGACCATGATCTCCAGCCGCAGCTTTAGCCAGAGCCTCTCAGGCTCCCTCCATGGCACAGGAGGCAGCTGGGGCCAGCTGGGGAGCTTCCCTCGAACTCCCAGCGTCCACGGGGGTGCCGGGGGTGTCCGCGTCTCCCTTTCCTTCAGCTCACCGAGCTGCCTGCCTCCTGGAGGGTCTTGGGGATCCAGAAGAGGCCATTCCCTCCCGGTCGGGAATGGGAAGGAGATGATGCAGGACCTCAACGACCGGCTGGCCTCCTACCTGGAGAAGGTGCGCGCTCTGGAGGAGGCCAACGAGAAGCTGGAGAGTCGCATCCTGAAGTGGCATGAGCAGAGAGATCCTGGCAGTAAGCAAAATTACTCCCAGTATGAGGAAAACATCAGCCAGCTGCAGGAGGAGGTAAGATCCTGGGTGACCCTGGCACTTGAGATGGGGCTGCGTTTCCAGAGAGCCGAGGGAGGAGATATCAATACAAAAGATAATTTCCAGGAAAATGGCAAAAGAGCTTAAAGTCATTGTGAGCAAAGATATTTGAGGGTAGTTTCTTACTATCCCTTCTGGACTTGGGAAGGCCTGTTCTGTATATTTCATCTTCTAGATGTAAATTATGCAGATAATCCAAAAAATACCAAGAGGTAACCAGTTGCTGTTCATTATCACTTACGATCCAGGGATGTTATAGTAACGACAAGGGCCGGTATTCGTTCTTCATGCTCAGTGCACAAGGCACAGGAGAGCATTCCTTTTCTCACTACATCAGTTCTACTCCATCTCAAAGGTTCTGGCGACAGCGTGATGACCCGCAGAAAGAAAAGCTGAGTTACGCTATTTTGGAGATCACACCGAAAAGCTGTCACTCCACTAGCCAAGACATCATTCTCACATCCCTGGATATTTCCTCAAGAGCTGCTAAAAGCTCTGAGTTCTTACTGCTTGCAGTTTTGAAAAGGGCATATTGTTAGAAAAATAATAATAAAATGAGCATAATATTTGGAATCTTAGAGTTAGGATGGGTAATGGAGACTTCTTAAAAAATAAAAATAAAAAAATCAACCAAACATCTAGAAAGCTAGGCTTATGCCTTCTGGAACATCTCATAACATTGGTTAGAAGTGGAGGGAATCCAGTCACCCCATAAGATTTTTTTAAGTTGTTTTTTTTTAATTTTGAGAAAGAGGGAGCACAAGTGGGGGAGGGGCAGAGAGAGAGGGAGAGAGCAAGAATCCCAAGCAGACTCCGCACTGCCAGCACAGAGCCTGATGCACGGTTCAAACCCACAAAACCGTGAGATCATGACCTAACCTGAAACGAACAGTCGGACGTTTCACTGATTGAGCCACCCAGGCGTCCCATAAGATAATTTTTTAAAGCTATGTAACTTCTCTCTTATGTAAAGCAGTCCCAGAAAATTTCCCATAAGATCATAATTTAACCCATCCTAGAAAGGGCATCAAGGTTTCCAATATCATTCAGTGTTATTTTTCAACCCTTGGTCATCCTTACTTGAATGTAGGAAAGACCAATCAAGATAATATAAATCTGTCCTCATAATGAACCCTAATTATTGAATAATCAACCTAATAACTGACTGTGTAATTACCTTAACTATATACTACATGGCTGTCTTCACAAAAAAAAACAAGATGACTCAACAAACCTCATGATACTTTTTTTTAACTAATAAAAGCTGCTTTGGTTTTAGAATGGAGAATATAAAAGATTTTTGCAAATGGACAGCTGAGAACATAACTCCCAAAAGAAATGTGAGGTCAGACCTCATGTTAGAAATAATTCACTAACGGACAGTAGAAAGGAGGAGGGAGCAGGGAAGAGGGAGGAAAACATGTATTGAGCGCTTATTATATGCCAGCCGCCATGTTGGATATTTTAATACACATATCAGCACCATCTGAGAGCTCTCCGCACTGATGGAAACATTTGGTATTACCTGATTCAATTCTTACAATGACCCTGTAAAGAGACTGAAGCTCAGAGTAGTGAAGCAGCCACAGAAAGCCACCAGCAAGAGGCAGAAGTTGGATTTCAACCCAGATCTGTTTCTAATGGCCTCATAGTTCCCATACAGCATGGTGCTCACCTTGCCTATATAATACAAAAATGGTACTGCTTATTAATAAAGATAATGCATTACAATGGCATTGTTAGTCATACAAAACATATTCTATACATGTCTCATTTTGTGAAGCAGGTATTTTCACCCCAATTTACAGATGAGGAGACTGAGACTGCATGGCTGCCCAAATTCTTTGGAACAGAATCAAGAAAAGAAGTAGGTGGCTTGTCCACTCTCCAGGCGGCCCAGGATTCTGGGTTCTGACTTTAAAATTCTGGGTTATAAATTAAATTCAGGTTTGAATTCCACTCTTTTCTGGATTTCTTACTTCAGTTGTATTTTGTTCATGTTTGAAGAAAATAATTCTTTGACGCTGAGGTTGTTCTGTCCGTCCCAGTCTTCCCCGGTTGCAGGTGAGAAAACAGAGGCCCAAAGAATATAATAGCCCACAACAACCAGGGGCTGAACCCTTCCCAGGGCCTGATGAAATGCTATCAGTAGATATGGTACTCTTCTGGCCCCACCTCAGGGATCTTAAATGTTACTCAAAAAGTCTTTTAGGAGCACCTGGGTGGCTCAGTCAGTTAAGTGTCCAACTTAGGTTCAGGTCATGATCTCACAGTTCGTGAGTTCAAGCCCTGCGTCAGGCTCTGTGCTGACAGCTGAGAGCCTGGAGCCTGCTTCGGATTCTGTCTCCTCTCTCTCTGCCCCTCCCCTGCATGCTCTCTATCTCTCTCTCTCTCCCTTTCTCTCTCTCTCTTTCAAAAATAAACATTAAAAACAATTTTTGAAAAAGCCTTTTAAAAATGAACTCGGAGTGCGCCTGGGTGGCTTAGTCGGTTAAGCGTCCGACTTTCGCTTAGGTCATGATCTCGCGGTTTGTGGGTTCGAGCCCCGCGTCGGGCTCTGTGCTGACTGCCAGCTCAGAGCCTGGAGCCTGTTTCAGAGTCTGTGATTCCCTCTCTCTCTGACCCTCCCCTGCTCACGCTGTCTCTCTCTCTCTCTCCTAGAAATAAATAAAAACATTTAAAAAAAATGAACTCGAAAATTAATCCAATCCTTTTGAAACATCGAGTTAGATATAGCCATAAGGATATGTGTATTTTAGAATGGCTCTCATTAGTACTCTATTTGGCCTTTTTGTTTACAATAAAAAATTCTATCTTCCTCTTCCTGGGATGAGATTACACACCCTGAAGCAGCAATGCTGTATTAATACACCAACTAGATCCTTTTAAAAGAATGAACTCAGAGCCTTGGGGGAGAATCCAGGTGATTAACTACAACACACAATGCAAAACCAATGCTTCACATATTATTTCTCAACCCAGCCTCGTCATCCATTCATCGCCACGAAGGATGTCTCAGAGTGGCTGTATCATAAAATTGCATCAAGTAAGCATGAACTGGGGAAATAGTTTTGGTATTTAAGTGTGCTCTATGGAAGGAAAAATAAGATAAAAACAGAAAGGGAGGCAAACCATAAGAGACTCTTAAATACAGAGAACAAACTGAGGGTTGCTGGAGGGCTGTTGGGTGGGGGGATGGGCTAAATGGGGTTGGGCATTATAGAGGGCACTTGTTGAGACGAGCACTGGGTGTTTTACGTAAGTGATGAATCACTGGGTTCTACTCCTGAAACCAACACTACACTATACATCAACTAACTTGAATTTAAACAAATAAATTTAAATAAATAAATAAATAAATAAGCGAGCAAGCCCTAGATCAAGTGCATTTCAGAACCTACCATTCATGTACTCTGAGAAGGATGCTGGCTGAGGGAATCAGACTCTTGACGTGGGGGTTGCAACAGATAAAGTATCAGTTTAACCCAGAAAAGCCAAATAAGCCCCCAGACGGCATTTTGGATTTTCTGATTCCATGGGGGGAATAGTGTTTGGTTTCTCTGGATGTCGATCAACACCTCAGTAACCAAGGGGGTCCCCAGACCCTTGTGGATGGAGCTACTTTTCATTTCCTATGAGTTTAGATAACGCAAGAAGTAAAGAGCTTGGAAGGAAAAGCACTGATTTAGGTATGAGTCCCTAAGCAGCACTACAGAGGGGAGACAAGAAATATCTACAGGCTCCTTTTTTTGGAGCAAAGGAAGTAGTCATAGTAGCGTTTGGAATCCATTGGAAGAAAGAAGTTAGGCAGGGCAGGAGCCTGGCTATCTCCCAGCACTAACAGCAGAACTTTGAGGATGCATCTCAAAACATACAGAACCCGAACTTTATCCGGTGCAGATATTGGCTCTAGTTATAAAAGTGCCAGCTTTTTTTCTTTCTTTCCTTTTTAACTGTATTCCCTATGCTGTACTTTTCATTCCCATGACTTACTTATTTTACAACTGGAAGTCTATATCCTTTAATCCCATTTACCTATTTCACCCACTCCCCTCTGCTCCTCCTCTGGAAACCACCAGTTGGTTCCCTGCATTTATGAGTCTAGTTTGGTTTGTTTTCTTTATTCTTTATTTCTTTATTTGTTGTATTTTAGATTCCCTATATAAGTGAAATCATACAGTATTTGTCTTTCTGACTTCTTTCTTACGTCTATGGTATTTTCCTGTCTGACTTATTTCACCTAGCATATACCCTCTAGGTCCATCCATATCGTCACAGATGATATTCTTTTTATTGTTTAGTAGTACTCTGTTGTATATATCTAGCACATCTTCTGTATCTACTCGCGTATCAATGGAAACTTAGGTCGGTTCTTGGCTACTATAAATCATGCTGCAGTGGACACAGAGGTGCATACATCTTTTCAAATTAGTGTGTGTGCGTGCATGCATGTGGGGGGGGGGGCTTGGGGGGGGTAAATATCCAGAAGTGGAATTACTGGGTCATATAGAACTTCTATTTCTAATTTTGGAGGAACCTCCATATTGTTTTCCACTGTGTCTGCACTAATTTACATTCCCACCAACAGCACATGAGGGTTCCCTTTTCCCCACATCCTCTCCAACACGTATTATATCTTGTCTTTTTGATACAAGCCAATTCTGATTGGTGTGTGGTATTATCTTATTGTGGTTTTGATTTGCATTTTCCTGATGATGAGGGATATTGAGCATCTTTTCCTGTGTCTGTTGGCTATCTGGATGTCTTCTCAAAAGTTCTCTTATAAAAAAAAATTCAACACTTTAAATTTTTCTAAATTAATTTAATTTCAGCTAATTTTTCAGAGTGTCTACAATATGCCCAGAACATGCTAAGTAAGTCATGACATTATTGTCTTTAATCACTTCCAATCTAATTCTCATACTCTTTGATAAAGTGGCTACTATTATGATTATTGTCATTTTATGGATGAAGAAACTGATACTTGGCAAGCTCACTCAGTTAGTAGGTGCTATAGCTGGATGTCAGGCCTTGCTCTTTGACTTCCAGACCCAGGTGTGTTATCACCACCCCTGAATCTTGCTATTGTACATTCATGATACCAAATTCCAAGCAACCAGTGGAGCTTTGAATAGGACCAGATTTTTAAAAGGTGTCTTTGTATTGAGGTATAACTTTATCCTAAGGAAATCATTTCTAAATAAAGGAATTATCTGTTTAAATATGATGGGAATGTCACAGAATTTTCTGCCTACAACTACAACACAGAAGTTTAGAGGTAGGACCTCTAAGGTCACCTGGCTCTAGTACAAACTCTTTATTTAACAGACAATGAAACTGAAACCCAGGGGATAGCATGACTGGCCTGAGGTCATGCCAATGGTGAGTAACAGGAAGTGAAAAGAAAATCACCAGTTCCTAGTTCAGCACAATACTTGGTACAAAAGTCGTATTATACTTTTGACACTGAGATATCATCTACCCAATCTTCCTAAAGATGGTAACATGTATTAATTGTGTAATACCTCCCTGGTCACAACTACCTAGAAGAATTTACAAATCATACACATACACACAATGACTCAGGTAGAAACCTTCAACAGCAGTTTTCACTTTAAAGTTAAAAAGTATATGAACATCTAGTGAAAGTCTTTTTTTAATTTTTTTTTATTTATTTCTGAGAGAGAGAGACAGTGTGAACAGGGGAGGGTCAGAGAGAGGGAGACACAGAATCTGAAACAGCCTCTAGGCTCTGAGCTGACCATCCGTGGGGCTCGAACCCACGAACTGCAAGATCATGACCTGAGCCAAAGTTGGACTCAGCCGACTCAACCGACTCAACCGACTGAGCCACCCAGGCGCCCCTGTGAAAGTCTTAACTAGACGCTGTAACACAGCTAAAGTTTATTAAGCTGCTAAAAATTTATTTCAGTTAATATTCTAATAGCTCATCATGGAATGGCTTACAAACACGTACGCATACCTGCAAGTTATGGGCATGACTATTGTCACTTTGGACAAAAAATAATCATGGCATGTGGCGACTATTACAAAATTCATTTATTTTTTATTTTTATTTTTTTGAGTTTAGAATTTCTTTTTTTAAAAATTAGTTTATTGTCAAGTTGGTTTCCATATAACACCCAGTGCTCATCCCCACAACTGCCCTCCTCCGTGCCCATCACCCCCCTTCCCCTCTCCTCCATCCCCATCTGCCCTCAGTTTGTTCTCAGCATTCAAGAGAATTCATTTAAAATTAGTTTGATAAATATATACCAGTGATAATTTTGATACTTTGCTCAGTGTCACTGATCAGAAACATGAATGCTATCACAAGGAAGAATTATGTTCATCTAAAAGAACTAATGCACTTTAAGGGAGCCACACTAATATTCACAGTAAAGGCAGGATTAGAACTTAAACCTCATTTAACATCTTCAGACAAGGATGAGCTGCAACACTAAGGTATGTTTGCAGCACTAGAAAGTTAGAAGGCACTTTGAACAGTGACTCTCCTTCCCTTTCCAATGTCATTTTTCCAACTGCGGCCTAAATTTTAGCCTTTCAAACTCAGTGTAAAAAAAATACAGTGAAGTGGCTGCAGACCATATTCTTACTTTAAAATCATTTGGATGCTTTGTACCTGGTAAGCGCTCAGTATTTATTGATTTCATTATTTGCTGTTCCAATGCCAGAAAAAGAAATCACCTATGCTAACGAGTCATGTACCCAGAAACTACAGGGCAGAAATTACTTCTCCCATGGGAGGGTATCTGATTTAAATGCCTCTTTTTTTATGTTTGTTTATTTATTTTGAAAGAGAGAGAGAGAGAGAGAACAAGAGAGAATGAGCAGGGAAGGAGCAGAGAGAGAGGGAGAGAGAATACCAGGCAGGCTCTATGTGAAGCTCAAACTCATGAACTGTGAGATCGATCACGGCCTGAGCTGAAATCAAGAGCCAGACGCTTAACCAACTGAGCCCCTCAGACACCCCTGACTTAAATGACTCTTGACGCATGTTTTCCAGATCATGGATGGCAAGCAGACCAACGCTCAGATCACTCTTCTCATTGACAACGCCAGGATGGCAGTGGATGACTTCGGCCTCAAGTAAGTTCCTTCTTCACCGTATTGTGGGGAGTTGCCATTTGCCATTTTTGCTTTGTTTTGTTTCGGGGATTCCTCTTGTTTTTGTTTTCTAAAGGAATTAATTTATCTCACCATTAGCCATGTGAAACATCTTTAAAATAGAATTAAAAAGGCATAATAAAAATACTTGAATGGGCCCTACTTTAAACAAACTAGATATAAAGTACACTTTTTGGCGTGGGGAAATTTAAATATGAGCCAAGAATGAGATGATGTTAAAGAGTTATTATTAGCTCTTCAGTTGTGATAATGTTATTATGCTTATTTAGATAACTCTTGTTTTCATTTTTTAAATTTTATTTTAATTGCAGTATAGTTAACATACAGCTTTACATTAGTTTCGGGTGTACGATATAGTGATTCGACACATCCAAACATCACCCGGTACTCATCACGACAGGTGCCTTCCTTAATCCCCATCACCTATTTCCCCATTCCCTCTAGTGACCATCAACCTGTTCTCCATAGTTAAGAGTCTGCTCATCACTTAGATAACATTTAGCTCCATTCTTAATGAAAATTCCTGTTTTTAAAATATGTATTCCTGGGGTGCCTGGGTGACTCCGTCGGTTAAGCATCTGACTTCGGCTCAGGTCATGATCTCATGATTTGTGAGTTCAAACCCCCCTCATGCTCTATCTCTCAGAAATAAATAAACATTAAAACATTTTTTAAAGATGTTTTCCTAAATATTTAGGGGCAAAATGTCATAATATCTATAGTTTAGCTTAAAATACAAAATAGAGGGGTGCCACCCCAGTGGCTGAGTCGGTTAAGTGTCTGACTTGGGCTCAGGTCATGATCTCGTGGTTCCTGAGTTCTGGCCCCGCATCAGGCTCTGAGCTGACAGCTCGGAGCCTGGAGCCTGCTTCAGATTCTGTGTCTCCCTCTCTCTCTGCCCCTCCCCTGCTCATGCTCTGTCTGTCTGTCTATCTCTCTCCCAAAAATAAATAAACATTAAAAAATAATAATAAAATAAAATACAAAATAGAGTATAGATGAAGCAAATTGTTAACAGTAACTAAATCTAACTGCCATATGACTGTTTATTATTTCATCTTCTCTAATTAAAAAAAAACAAGCAACCATACAGTCACCATCACAGAAAAACCTGCATGAAACAGACATATGAGGGTTAAGAGATTCACCTCTAAACTAAGGTGAATCCTTACAAGGCTATGGCCTTCCAACAACAGGTCTGTTCTTCTCTCCCTTCCAACCAAAGGTACGAAAATGAACACTCCTTCAAGAAAGATCTGGAAATTGAAGTTGAAGGCCTCCGAAAGACTTTGGATGATCTGACTATCATCACTACAGATCTGGAACAGGAGGTTGAGGGGATGAGGAAAGAGCTCATTCTCATGAAGAAGCGCCATGAGCAGGTAGGACCACCCAGGAGCTCTTGGTAACCAGCACAGCTCTTAATCTGCACATTCATATGACTTAATAGCCACAGAAAAAAACCACCATCTGAATTCCAGTCCTAGTATAGAAACATCTAATTTTTCCAGCTTCAAGATTGTCTATGCAGTGCCAAATCCAACAGCCAAAATAAGATCATAATTAATGATAAATCAGCCAATAATTTTGCTAATATACAATGATTATCTAGACTTATTTGTTAATATGATACCGTAAGAATAAATACCGTAAGAATGCATGAGATTGAACTTCCTTCATTGACCCAATGTACAGCAAATTGGGGGACAGTAGAATAAAGAAAATCTGCCACTAACCAAGTTCAATAAAACTAGTGACAAAAATGAAGAATCTTAATTTCCAGAACCATGTAACTGACTTTGAAAAGGTTACATTCCATCTAAAGTCCCTGAGACTCTGATGCAATACAAAGAAAGCAACCCCCTTTTTAGGCAAACAAAATTGCTTATGAACATCAAAGAGCCTCAATTATGAAGAGCTGGTTAGATAATGATTGTTAATTAAGCTTTTCCTAAGGTTTCTTGGTTATTATGCTATCCTATGGGGTCAACCCTATAGAGTCATAATGCATTTGCAAGACATTAAAAGTCTTTATACCTTTTGGCTTTGGGTTACTGAACTGCTTCCCAAAAGCATTAGCCTACAACCTGAAATGCTCAACTGTTGAATTGTGCCATCACTTCACCCATGAACGTGTGCTGAAGAGTATTTTATGTGCTATGTAAGTGTAACTCTTTGTGAAACATTTTCAACCAAGGATTAAGTCAGTAATCACAGAGGCCATCTGATTACCTATATAGTATTTTTTATTTTATAGAGTTATAATAGAAAAAAACAATATATGTTTTGCTGCCAACAAGTAATACTTGAGAAACCAAATCAAATCAGTAAAATAATAACAACGACATAAGCTGATTTTTTAAAAGATCTGTAAATTGTTGCTAATCTACACACTTCTGGCCTTCTGATTCTCACAGACAATTCATCTTTTTTTTTCTGTTATTAAACAGGAAATGGTAGAACATCATGTGCCAAACGACTTCAAGGTCAATGTGAAGGTGGATGCAACTCCAGGCGAGGATCTAATTAAGATCTTGGAGGATATGAGGCAGGAATATGAGTTTATAATAAAGAAGAAGCATCAAGAGTTGGACACTTGGTATAAAGAGCAGGTAAAGGAAAGGGGCTCAAACTTCTCCAAGGTTCCATTTCCATGTGGCCCCAATACCAATGTCTCTGCCCTTTGCTTTGTCTCATAGTCAGCAGCCATGGCGCAGGGAGTGGCCAGTCCAGCAGCTGTGCCGAGCAGCCAAAGTGACATCCATGAGCTGAAGCGCACTTTCCAGGCCCTGGAGATTGACCTGCAGGCGCAGTGCAACAGGGTGAGTCTACAGAAAATCCTGGGCCGGTTCCCACCTCCTCCACAGAACTTCTGTGACCTCTCTCCTGGGTTCATCTCCCCAACTCCCCTGGGACATCTCTCACTCCCCATTTTCCATCCAAATTGTTCATGATGAGAATGATAATAAGAGCTCTCATTTCCTGACGTGGCCACATTGTACCATATGGTATATCATGGGGTTCATTATGTTAACCATCATCAACCCTCATATTAACCTTTCCAGGCAGGTTAGGTTCTCACTTTAGAGATGAGGAAACCAAACAGTTAAGTAAGTTGGCCAAGGCCACATAGATAGTAAACGGCCAGCAGTGAAGCCACCTGGTATTTGGGGGCACGTGCGGCAGTCTAGTAGACCCTCATAATCTCTGCCAGTGCTCCCCACTTAACAACCAGGCTGCCCCCCAAAACTCCACTAAAAAGAAATCCTGTTGCCAGCATGAATTGGTGGCAAACCCAGGCCTGGCTCACTCCAAAGTACTGCTCTGTTCACTATGCATATGTCTTATCACCCCATAAACTATATATTCTTATATCTAAGTCATTTCTAGAATTTTCATGGTTTTTAGTAAAATGCTTTGTATGCAGTGTCACAGGTGCTCAAAATTCATTAAATAAAATCTATCATTTGATTACCTTCGTAGCCTATCCTAATCTTCTAATCATTCATCAGTATCATTTCCAAGTGTTACTCTGCCCTTGGTCTTGAGGAGAAATCATTGGTTCATTCTGTTGCAGGTAAACATGGTAAATTACTATTATGTTTTAAGAATAAGTGATGAACAGACATTTAAAATGTACACTGACAAGGTGATAATAATGAGCACAGAAATAATTACAGTGTTTTATAGTTTTCAAAACATTTGGACATACATTATTTTGCAACAACCCTGTGAGGTCAGCAAGACATGTATATCCATTTTCATGCATTCTACCATCTGACACTGTTCTGAGTGCTGAGGATTCTACAATAAAGGAGTTGACATTGTGGGGGTGGGGGGTGATAGTCAACAGATGCACAGATCATCAAAATGCTGCCAATAAATAAAGCATGGCCGGGGGAGGTCAGGAGGTCAGGCAGGCTGGAGCACAGAGCTGCCATTTTAAACAAGGTGCTCAGGAAAGGGTTCACTGTTAAGGTGACAGCTCAAGTGGTAAGGAGGCACATCATGTGGCTATTGAGAGGGGGTTCCAGGCAGAGGGAACAGCAACTGCGAGAGCCATGAGGCACAAATGTCCACACAGGTTGGGGGACCAGTAGGAAGCCAATGTGGCTGTAGTGAGTGAACAAAGGGAAGAAAAAAAGAGAGAAGAAGAGGGAAGGGAAGGGGAGGCCTTTGGGGTAACAATGGAGCCAGAAGGCATAGCCTTGACACTCGGAGGGAGGTCAAGAGGAATTTGGAACCTCGGATATGGACAATTCTTCGAGAAGCTTTGCAATAGGTGAAGGAGAGCAGAGAAACTGGATGACAGCTGAAGGTAGATAAAGATTCAAGAGAACGATTATAAAGTGGAAGAAATTACTCTATTTGAAAGACGGGAAGAAGCTGGTAGAGAGGAAAATACGGATGATGCAGGAAGGCGGAAATGACTGGAGCACAGACACCTCATGCCTGGTGCCGGGGCCGGGGAGTGAGAGCCTGGTACCAGGGCAGGAATGAGAACCTGGAAGCAGATTCACATATGTGGGCTGAAGTAATGGTGGAAGGCTGTGGGTATCCTCTCCTGACAGCCTTTCATTTCCTCAACAACACAGGAAGTGAGGCCCTGGGCTGAGAGACAGGAGAGGGAAGGCAGTAGCCCTCTGGGAGAACAGGAGAGGGAGGGGAGCAGACCAGGCAGCATGACGGGCCCCCGGAAAGTTAGCAGCCATGATAAAGTGAGAGCATCTGGCACAGTCAGGGTTTCTCCTGAAGATTAAAATTCTGTGCTCCACATGTACCCCAATGTTCATAGCAGCACTCTCCACAATAGCTAAAACATGGAAAGAGCCTAAGTGTCCATCAACAGATGAATGGATCAAGAAGATGTGGTTTATCTATACCATGGAATACTACA